ATTTCTCTATGTTGAATGCTATCAGGTTTTGGTCCGCCCACTTTACAAGCATGTCCAAGTTGGCTTATATCCCTAGCCTGTCCTCCAGCATGACCACCTTCCCCCATAGTTGAGTGTTGTCTGTGAACTTAGCAAATCTGATGCCCAAATCCAGATCATTAATGAAGATATTGAAGAGTACTGGCCCGAGCACTGAGCCCTGGGGGGATCCACTGGTAACCTTGTGCCATGTTGATTTTTTTGTTCCCATCAACTAGTACATTTTGGGTCCAACCCCTGAGCCAGTTCCCCAGCCATTGGACCATGAGATGGTCAAGGCCACAGTTCCCCAGCTTGGTCATGAAGACATCATGGGAGACCAAGTCAAAGGCCATCTTGAAATCCAGATAAATAACATCAACCTCATCTCCCTTGTCCAGGCAACACATCACCTGGTCATAGAAGGAGATGAGGTTGATCAGGCAAGGCCTTCCAGCAATTAAACCATGTTGGCTGACATTCAGTAGGTTGCCTTCTGTTAGCGTGATGCAGATGGATCCCTTCATAATTTTCTCCCAAGATCTTTCCGGGGATGGACGTCAGACTGATAGGTCTTCCTCCCTTTCTTGAAGATTGGGACCACATTGGCTCTTTGCCAGTCTTCCAGTACATCACCAAAGCACCACAAACCTTCAAATATCTTGGCAATAGGTCTTGCTATGATGTCTGCCAGCTCTTTTAAGATTCTCAGGTACAATCCATCCAGGCCCACAGACCTACAGATGCCAAGCCTCTGGAGGTGTTCTTTCACTTGATCTATATCAATTGTGGGCCCATCTCCCAAGCCCTGGATGCTTTGCATCCTGTCTGACAGCATGAATCCCTTGGATGGGTGGAAAACTGATGCAAAGTAATCATTTAGGAGATTGGCCTTTTCTTGGGCATCAGACATCAGCTGCCCCATTTGATCTCGCAGGTGGCCAAAGTTGCTTTTGTTCTTCCTCTGACTTCCCACATACCTGAAGAATGACTTTTTGTTTTGATTCCAGAGGCTAGCCTGAGTTCAGTTGCTGCCTTGGCTTTTCTGGACAGCTCCCTACAGGTATGGGCTAGTGCTGAGTAGTCCTTGGTGATGATTCAAGTTTTCCGTCTGGTGTAGGCTTCTCTTTTTTGGTTTCAGGAGACCCAAAATTTCCCTGCTGAGCCAAGGGGGCTTCCCTGCCCTCAACTGTATTTCCTGCGGGATGGGATGGACTTCTCTTGTGCTTTGAGGATTGAGTTCTTTAGAAACCACCATTCCTCATGGACTCCCCTTCCTAGGGGCCATTGTCCCCTTAGTGCCTGACTGACCAGTCTCCTGAGTTTGTGAAAGTCAGCCTTCCCAAAGTTGAGGATTTCTGTTTCGCCAAGGGATTTGCCCACCCTGCATTGAACAGAGAAAGTAAAATCAGATCATGGTCGCTGTCACCAAGTTTGTCCTCAATCTTCAGATCACTCAGCAGATCACCCCCTTTGGCCAGAACCAGGTCGAGCAGTGCCTCTCCTCTAGTTAGTCCATAGACCTCTTGCATCAGGTACAGGTCATCAATGCAGGCGAGGAAGTTACATGACCAGTTAGACCTGGCTGTGTGCTCTTCCCACAAGATGTCAGGGAGGTTGAAGTCTCCCACAGTGATCATACATTGGGAATGTTCGGCCTTGGCCAGTTCCCTATTGAATTCAAGATCCAGTTCTTGGTTAGGAGGTCTGTAATAGACTCCTACAAGTATATCCCCTTCCCCATGCTCCCCCCATATTTTAAACCAGAGGGTCTCAAGATGTCCTCCATGGTTAATGAACTCAGTCTGAAGGGAAGTGTACTGCTTCTTGACATAGAGAGCTACACCCCCACCCCTCTTCCCAACATGCTCTCTCCTGTAGAGGGTATAACCTTCTATACCTATCAACCAGTCATAGGAGGAGTCCCACCAGGTCTCTGTTATCGCTACAAGGTCATAATCACTATTGGTCAGGAGAAGGGCCAGCTTCTCTTCCTTATTACCCAAGCTCCTGGCATTTGTGTACAGGCAGCTGACTCTGCCATGGGAAGCCCTAGACTTCCTTATGTGATGGGACGTGATCTTTCCTTGGGCTGTTGTCAGAGTGGGTTCTCTTGGGCTACTCACTCTGTTCCTACTGTGATTGGCATGACCTGGGCTAGAACTGTTGATTGACCGCTCGTCCCCCAGTAATCTTAGTTTAAAGCCCTGTTAAGTAGGTCAGCCATTCTGGCTGAGAAGAGCTTCTTCCTTTTCCAGGTGAGGTGGACGCCATCCCTTCCCAGCAATCTACTACCTCTCTCACTAAAGTGCTGAGTGTGGTCAAAGAAGCCAAATGCCTTGCAATGGCACCATTGCCAGAATCTTCTGTTCACCTCACTGATTTACCCATCCCCCTGGGGTCCATGATCTATGACTGGAAACATCAAGGAAAAAACTACCTGAGCCCCCAGACCGTTGACCCCAGATCCCTGTAGTATGCATGACCTGGCCAGGATTGCTCCGAGCTGTGTCATTTGTGCCCACGCGGTGGTCCAAGGGCTGGAGGATTTTGGGGATCCTCTCAGTCGCATCATGGGCACGAGCCCCACGGAGGTAGCAAACTCCATGGGCTACAGGGTCAAGGTGACAGATCGCACCCTCTGTCCCCCTCAGAAGGGAATTTCCCACCATGATTATTCGGCGCCTTCTTCTGGTCGTAGGTGTTGGTTGCCCTCCATCATCATGTGTTGGGAGTTCGGCCAGCTGAGCTGGTGTAAGAGCTTCAAAATGATTGTGCAGCTCCAGGGAAATGGTCTCCCTGGTGCAGTGCCTCCTAGGGCCAGAGACTACCTCCGTACAGGCAACCCCTGGCTGGACCTCATGACGGCTCTTTACTTCCGCCAAGGCATCATCAGCCGTTGGATGGAGTGCCTGGAAGTAGGTGTCCAGTTCCTGCTCTGTATCTCTAATGTCTCGCAGCCATTGCACCATTGCCTGGAGTCCCCTTATTTGGCACTCCAGGGCCTCCACTGTTGAGCACACCCCACAAGGGGAGGTGTCAGTGTTCCCAGACCCAGCTGCCTGCATCCATGCCAGGAGCATCCATGCTGGGAGCTTTGGGGTGAGATGTATCCCTCCCATCATGGTCCTTGTAGTAGTCTATGCTACTACTGAACAGACCCTTCGTTTCAGGCTCTCTGCCTGAAGCCTCATACCCCTCCTGCACAAACACCCATGGTAACTTGCGCACTGGGCCTAGAAGCACCTGTTTACACATTCTGTTCATGAGGCTCCAGTTGCGTGACTCCCAGAGGGCTGGGCCAAGTAGGAGCTGAGGGGGTAAGTGACCCTTCTCAGCTCCTCTCAGCTGCCCCACAGCTGTGCTACTTCCCTCCCACCATAGGCCCCACCTACCTCCCGGCGGCGCTGGGGGTCAGGGTCTACCAGGGTCCTCTTGGGAGTCCTGGGGCTTACAGGGATAAAATGGGCTTCTGCCCATGCATATCACACTGGAGCCGGGGATGAACTGCGGCTTGTGCCATTGGCAGGCCCCTTTAAAGTCTGCACATACAGAGTAGGGCCCACTGACAGTGCTGCACCATTCTTGGAGCTTGGGGGTCCCTTCACCACTGGAAGAGGGGATAGGTAAGTGCCCCCCCTTCCCCTGTCTCATGTACCAGGTGGCACTGATCATGTGGTTCCCTGAGAGGCTAGGCCAAGTAGAAGCTGGGGGGGGTGGAGGAGGAGGAGGCGTGATCCTCCTCAGCTACTCTCAACTGCCCTGCAGCTGCACTACTCCCCTCCCACCACAGGCCCCACCTACCTCCTGTCTGCACTGGAGGTTGGGGTTCCCCGGGGTCCTCTTGGGGGTCCTGGGGCTCACAGGGGCACAATGCATCTCACACTGGAGCTGGGGACAAATTGCAGCTTGTGCCGTTGGTAAGTCCTTTTAAAGTCTGACCCACTTCCTTCCCTCCTGTTGAGTTGCTACAGAGTCAGGTTATAGCCAAGCTTTGTAGAAGCCCTATTAATAGAAACTATTCAAAAAAAGATGCTGAATGGGATGTACTCCAGAAAGGGTTTTTAACCAGGGGTACACATACCCTCTGGGGGTACTTTGGAAGGCCTATGGGGTATTCAGCTGTGGGCGCTGCCTTCGAAACTTCTGCTGCCAGCATGCTTGCCGATCAGCCACAGGGGGACTCCTTCCCTCTTGACCGGCCGCCAGGGGTACACTGACCCAAAAAGTTTGAAAACCCTTCTGTAAACATGAGTGGACAGTCCCAATCCAGTGCTCCTCCTTTCTGACCCACTGACCACCCCCCCAGCATCTGGGGTAGGGAGTGAGTATGGCAGGCTAGCTGGAATGCTGCCAGCCTACAAGGGTAAAGCCACTATTTCCCACATTTTTCTCCTTTAAAGGAGAATCCATTTTTTAAGTTTGTTGATCCATTTTTAAATTTGTTCTTGACCCTTCCATATATTCTTGAGACCCACTTTTAGGTCACGACCCACAGGTTTAGAAACACTGCTCTAGAACACCCTTCAGCTGCCACAACCATACTGCTATCTCATTTTAGGGTACTCTGGCTCTACCCAGAAGAACTGTAACTACAGCTGCTTCTTTCCCATTGTTCCTGCAATGAGGATTCTAGAAGTGTGCGTTTCCAGGAAATGCCATTCAGGAAAGCCCTAGAGATAGGTATTATCCAGTATTTAGTTCAAATACAATGACTGTGTTCTAAAATGTTATTAGTATTCAGAAATGAAAAAGCGTGGACACTAGGGTGTCTGTTCATCCCTGCCTCCCCATCACTTGCAACACCTCCTTACAGTCCATGAGAATCAGAACTGACCATTTCAAATTGCTGAACTGAGTACATTAATTTTTAGATGAACTTTAAATAGAGAAACTTCTCTGGGAACATGGGGCCCAAGTGTGACGGTGACCCTTTCCTGTTCCAGAGAGTGTAAACATAATGCCATGCAACATATACCAACCTATTTCTGGCCCCAAGCGTGAGGACTTCAAAGATCCTGCTGAGGACACAACGGCACAATGACCCAAGCGGCCCGTTGCTTCACTGAGTTTTTTTCTTGGTAGGTAGTTATGCCATTCAGAGGTACTGAACGGACCATCCAACCCTTGTATCATGGTCACATTCACTTTGTCCCGGAGCTGGCACAGCAGCTTCTCTGAATTGATTTTAACAGCATTCCTTTTCCCACGATAAGTCACATTATACTTGTTCATGGAGAGGTAATTATTTCTGACCTTTTGCAGCCTAGGTATGAGATTCTTTGATGAACTGTTCTCATTCCAGACCTTCACAGAGCTCGCTGGAGTCTTGAGCTTGGCCATTGCATCATTTCCTTTATCCTTTTCCAAGACGTTCCCTTCTACTTTATTCAGGTTGTCTAGCAAGATGTCAGGTGTTGGGTCCTTCTCGTGGACAGCATCATTTGAAAGACTTCGTGACTTAAGTCTATTGAATTTTTCCAGAGCCCCAGGCATCGGAAAGCTTTCACTTTCTGTTTTGAAGGGAACATAGTAATTCTTTCTTGTTTCATTCCACAAGCAAATTGTCAGAAGCACGAGTACTAGCAAGAGTACACACATTGATTTTTTCAATATATGGATGTGAACCATAATGTACGACAAATCAGAATGAAGTGATTAATCCAGGGCAGAAAGCTGGTCCTGAAAAAGAGGGTGAAAAAAAAAGAACAAAGTCAAAAGGAAGAGGGGAAAAATAAAGAATTTAAAGACTTCTCAATACATTTAAAAGCCTTAATCCAAAGCTCACCAACGTCACCCAAAAGACTTTACTGGGCTTGGATCATATCCTAATTCTGCTATTAACCCAGTCAAACTCTCCCTCTGCCCCAAAAACCTAAATCCATTTTTTCCTTTCCCCCAAAAGCAGCAACTTTCATGCCAGCAAGGGTGAAAATAGCTTAGTTTTTTTGTTTGTTTTTTTGGGAGGGGGGTGTTTTGGAATATGGGGGAATGGAAGGAGTGTTGTTATTCAAGTCAGTTAATGTCTAAGATAACATTGCCAAGAAATCCAAGATCAATGCTTCCTGCTCAAATCTATTAAGATTCTTGCCTCTGGTCAAACTACCATTTCACTAGCAAAGATGTTTGACAAACACTGGAAAACATTTATAAATGTTGCAAACTTTAAGAACCC